AGACCAACATCAAAAAGGGAGACAAAAGAGACGCAGAGAGAAGAAAGGAAGAAGACAGTGACGAAGAGGGAGACAAGATCAGCCATAGCTGAGGTGAAGGAGAAGGAGGTCCACCATAGCCGGGAGGTCAGAAGGTTGACCGGGAGAGTTGACCAGATGTTGACCGAGGTTGACCACGGGTGTTGACCAGGCATTGACCAGTGTTGACCGGGCTGTCTAGGGCGTTGACTGAGCATTGATCGGAGCTGCCTAGCGCATTGACCAGGAGCGTTGACCGACGAAGTTGACCAAGTCCGTTGACGGAGCGTTGACCCATCTGGAGCAAGAAGACAAACGGTACTATCTTCCCAAGCCTGGCCTATCCCTTACCCCGTGAGTGTGTACCTTCACCCCAGTACTTGCTGGCATAGAGTCTGTCAAGGACAGTCAATCCTATCTCCCTGTCACTACTGTCTAGGGTGTTAGGACTCTGTGTGTGTGGTCATAGAACCGCGAGTTCAGTTTGGGTCGTGAACCAAATCCCCGAAGTAGAAGTAACYTGTTCGGTCTAAGTGTTGAGGTGTGGAATTGTTGTCAATTGTGCGTTGTCAGCATGGTGACCCTTAGATCTGGAACCGTTACCACCCCCTACAGCAAAGAGCAGGAGGAGAGAGCTGCCGCCCTTCTGCGTGAGAAGAAAGAGAAGATGGAGAAGAGGGAACTAATCAGACAGGCTAAGATGTTGGCGTTGCCGGAGGAGCAGGAAGCAAAGAAGAGGCAGATGGAGGAGGAGATGGAAAGAGGGAAGAAGGAGCAGGAGGAGAAGATGGCAGCTATTCAGGCGGAAGAAGAAGAAGAAAAAGAAGAAGTGGAAGAAGAAGAAGAAAGACCGCTAGAGAGGAGAAGAGGAGGAGGAAGCATAAGTAAAGAAGCGGAGATTGCGGAAAGGGCGCAGGAGTGGGCCGCACATTTGAAGTGAGGGGAAGACCAGGAGGATGAGATGGTTGTACCCGAGGAAGAAAGAGAAGCAGCCAGGAGGCAAATTGAAGTAGAGAGGGATCCAGTAAAGAGAGGGGCAAAGGAGGAGGAACAACGGATGGCGTGGAGATACCGGTTATCCCAAGAAAGGGTTAGGAGATTGGAAGCGGTAGAGAGGGCGGACAAGGACCTAAGAGCGGCGAAAGTTAGGATGGGGAAGATCCGGGCGGAGACTGAGCTAGCAACCAAGCTAGATACACTGATCCAAAGTGTAGAGGCTTTATTAGTCGCACAGCGGGAACAAATGCAGTACGATCGCAGTCAAGACATCATGATAGACGTGATACGCGCGGGGTTCAAGGACTTCGCGTGCGACATTATGAAACACCTGCTGACCGAAGTGCACATTGAGATTAATAGGACCCGAGAGTTTTGTACTGGCGCCATTGAAGGCGCCAAGCTAGCGGCCCCTAAGGAAGAGGAGCCGGCCCCACCACGTCGCGAGAAAGTCAAGGTCTGATTTCCCGAACCCTGCAGTGGGAAGAAGGGTGAAGATTTTGATAACTGGGAGGCCAATGTGCACTCCTATCTGTATCTGCAGGGAGTCACACCTGAAGACCACACTTTGGTGGCCTTCCAGGCCCTTAGAGACGAAGCAACTAGCTTTGCTAGGTCGCTAGCCCGCGCTGCCAACTGCGATAACGATATGGTTACATACTCCAGACTGACACCCCTCTCCGACTTCCTGAAAGCCCTTAGGGAGCGATTTTCTGATGTCACGAGGGGCCTTAAGGCCTCAGACAAACTCCAAATGATCCACACTCGCCAGTGGAACAGTGTGCATGCGCTAAAGTCCGCTATGGACGAACTGATTGCGGTCCCTGGGCATGGAGTCACTGATGTGCAACTCCTTAACCTCTTCTACCGCGCCCTGCCTGATAATATTCAGGGACACTTCTTCGAGAAGAAGAATCAGCAGGGCATGACTTACGATACACTTAGTCGGGAGGCAGTTGCATTTGCCGCCCAAGCGTCGCCAGTTACCACGTTCTGGCACAAGGATCTGTCTAAGGGAAAAACGTGGAAGGGACGCACCATCTCAGCCCAAATCAAGGCCAAAGATAGTCTGATCTTAACGATGGAGGAAGGTGGTGCAGAGGAGGTTCCCTACTCTGACATCAAGTGGGGATTAGAGGAGGAC